AACTAGACGCATAACTGCGTAAACTCGGGGTTCTTGTTGATAAAATAGTAGTGAATTTGGTAAGGCTCGTTTACACTTGCGTGTTTGCCATATATTTACTATATAATTCGCTTTTGATAAGATGGGTAGCTAGTTTGATAGACAATTCATGATATGCAGTAATATAAATATCACAATTTTAATAACTTAAAAGTCATTTAGAGAAATTAAAAAAATAACTGTGTCTACGCCAACTTCGTATTATTAAAAGAACATGAACAAATATCAAGACAATAACAACAATCTTATTATGTCATTTTACATGTAAGACAAAATTAAGATAAACCTCTTTTGACAGATTCGATGATAAACAACCCATCTTAGCTTTCTACTTTTGTTATGTAAGCGTCTTAGCAATCGTTTTGGTATCCTACTGGGCTCTCGACTACGACTACAACGTACATGTCGATAATTATAATAAACAAATCTTGAATAACGAGATCTTGAAGCATGTTTGAAGTTGAATTCATGTCTTCCATCTCGTATAAAGACGACACCTCGACGACACCATAAGATAGCACATGGAAGTTGTGAATGTCACGTGATTCGTACCCAGTGCATTCTAATTTGTGTACTAAATGCGACAAAGAAGGCCGAAACCTAAACTCGGCGGTTCCACAGGAACCCCGAGTAATAAAGTTAAAATCGCCTCCCCATATAATATGTGTGTCTATCGGGTACTTCATTTCTTCAATATATGTGTAAATTTCTTTCATAAATATTACTTGTTCGTTTTCTAAGTTGGGAAAGTATGTATTAACTAATAGAACATTTCATTTCTGCCTTGTATTTCACACCACACAATCACAAACYTTCCTGATGGGTCGAGTTTTTTCTTCTTTTATTTGATAATCTAATTTGTCACCGAATAATATGGCAGTACCTTTAGATACCGAAGTCCCGTGGGACATTATTAATTTACCTCTTGTTCTCTTATACCACTCGTTCATAATGTCGTCTGTACTATGAGTTTCTTGTATAAAGGTTATTCCGTTTTCTCCCCCATGCTTAGTTATCCAATCAAACATTTTTACATTCTTACGATACTTTCTTAGCCCTCGAATGTTAACAGATATTATTTTGAAATCACTCATTCAGACTCCTACTAAGTTGAGTGTTCCCGAGGTGCASGATTGACACAAATGATTTACGTAACGTCAAGTACATGGAAAAATAGATTACTATTTCAACAAAAGACAAAAACAACATATCGTTACAAAACAACACATAAAGAGACAGAATTTTTGAAAATATTAGCATACGGCTGAAAAACATCAAAAGAAACAGCGCTTTTGAAATTATTAGCATACGACTRAAATACATCATACACAAATCGGGATTTGGCTAGTTAAATAAATAGAMGTGTTTTATAAGGCTCCTTAGATAGAAAAAAAAGGGTAAAGTCATTTCCGAATATTATAGATTTACCATTTATAATTTACCTAAGCAGTTAAGAGCCACTTCGCGCAAAAATCAGACATATCTTGGCAAGGCTCGAAAAATCAAATCTATTCATATTTTGTWTATTGATAAGGTATGATTAGGTAACAATCGCTGTGTAATTGGTTTTTGAAAATATTTCATTTTTCGCAAGAAAATCGCTAAACAATGTCACATACTGGKCCTTTGCGTGACAAATGTTTGATGGCTAAAAATAGCACTCGAAATAGCCAAACTTTCTACCGAGCTTGTGTGAAATGTAAAATGTTAATTTCAAAAATTTAAATTCTTTCTTATTTATTTCATTGATTTTCAGAGCATTTAATTAAAAAGAAAATTTTCTAGAACTCGAAGTGTTGACATATGTAGTTGTATATGCAAATTAGTACCTAGAAAAAAAGATTATTTTTTCTACGTGCAAGTATTTTGTTTGCAATGAAATTCGGCGTGATAACTAAGCAAGGCATGAGCTTTACAAAGAAATAATAATWAGTCTGGCAAAATCACTTCCAGGTGCGTAGGAATGACTTATTCCAGTCACAATTATCAGCGTAAACACATATTTTCTCAGTTGTATTAACCCAACAATTTTCAAAGCATATAAACATCTAATCAACATTAAACGTATGTTATTGAAATAAAAAGGGTTAAGCTTATTTTCTTTGAACATTTTAGGCAATGTAAATGAATTTCGGTTGTTTTAACGGATTATTATCGCCAGAAGTATTCATTTCTATGCAACTGAGAGTGATTTGCCCAGACTAATTGTTTTGTATTTGAAAAGCTCATCTCTTGTTTAGTAATCACTCCGAATTTTATTGCAAACAAAATACTTGCACGTTTAAAAAATGATCGTTTTGTAAAGGCACTAATTTGCATATAAAAATACATATGCGAATATTTCGAGTTCCAGAAAATTTTCCTTTCAATTAAATGGTCTGAAAATCACTGAAATAAATATCAAAGAGTTAGTGAGAAAGCTGCAATTTAAATTTTTAAAATAGCTATTTTAGTTTTTACATGAACTCAGTATAAAGTTTGGCTATTTTGAGAGCTATTTATAGCAATCAAGCATCTGTCACGCAAAGGTCCAGTATGTGACATTAATTCGCGATTTTCTTGCGAAAAATGAAATATTTTCAAAAAGCAATTACA